GGAGGTAACAAGGCATTCGAAGGAGCTCTAGCTATGGCAAAGAAGGCGCTCGAGATTGGAGATGCGGAGATTTGTGTTAACGTTGCATTTAAGTAATGGAGTGCAAGAGCATCGTGCTTTTGCTGGCCCAACAACTTTGGAAGTATCAGAATGAGAATTTTTTCTTCTGGATGATATCCCGAGTGATTTGGATGCAGGGATCGGTTCATAATATTTGATTGAGTTGATTGTTTGGAGTCAAGATAATGATAAATGTTTCAGCTAGCAGCAAGATCTGAAAATGGACAGGAGATAAAGAAAATGAAACTGGACAATGAACAAGCAGTGAGCAGTACTGAACAAGCAGTAAGCAGTACCGTGGAACCTGCTCATTAGGATAGTTTCTGATAGAGAACAGAAATCTTTCAACTCTTCCCTTGTCTTTACCTCATCACAGCTGCATTCATTTTTCTTCCCACCGTCGTGGTATCTGTATAGTATTTCTTGTTTACTAAGTATCGGTCATGCCGTAGGACTCTCTCGTAGTCGAAATATTGTTCAAGTTGCTCTTGCTATATTCTCTAACTGTGATTCTCTGTAAAATATGGTGATTTCGTTTATCACGTCGTATAACTACTTGTCGAGTTCTAATTCAAACTGTGTCTACCAAAAACTTCCGCCCAAATTCTTGATTATGCTAATTTTTTCTTCGATCATGAGTAAACTATTAATCGGGTGTTTGCAAACTTGGGTCGCGCTGAACTCCTACCCGGGGGGGGGGGTCCTATTCGGCTAATTTGGGTGGGGTTTAGAGACAAAATTGGGGTTTGGAGCTTAAAGGCAGCGTCCAGGCAAGTCTGGACCTATGGGGATTTTACATGGAAAGTACTTTTGGGGCCCTAACTAACCCACTACCCAACCGGCAGCTCAGGTAGTGCTGTAACGCCTGAGATATTCTGCTCGAAACTGGACCCCGCGACCGTGTTTCGCATGGATTCATGGCGCAAAGCGTGGATCCTGGCGCGAAACTCCCATGAATCCATGCGAATACGTTCGCGGGGGTCTGTTTCGAGGGGAATATCTCCGCCATTAGCACTACCTGAGCTGCTGCTTCGGCAGTGCCTTAGTTAGGGCCCCAAAAGTACTTTCCATGTAAAAGCCCCATAGGTCCAGATCTGCCTGGAAGCTGCCTTTAATTAGGGCTAATTACAGTATGCCGCGGCAGACTTGCGGAGCACAAAATCGGGGGGCTCCGGAGCAGAAAATGGGAGGTATCCGGAGCAGAAAATGGGAGGTATCCGGAGCAGAAAATGGGAGGTCTCCGGAGCAGAAAATGGGAGGTATCCGGAGCAGAAATGGGAGGTCTCCGCCGGAGAAATGGGAGGGCTCCGCCGGACAAATGGGAGACCCACCGCTGGGGAAACGCCGCGACCCTGCCATTTCTCCGGCGGAGGGGTCCTATCCGCTGTCTGAGCAGTATGCTGTTTACGGCCGTCATTCCTTCAGTACTGATGACTGCGATATCCACCGGACTAGCGCATTTCTTCTTCACCTTCGTAGTATCTCCCCAACTAAACGGATTCGGTTCTTAATTACGACCCCCCCCCTCAGTCATACGCCCAAGACGAGCCCTCAGGTCGGGCGCGCCTGATCACGCTCAACCCTGGCTCCACAAGGGGGGACCCGAAACGCTGTATATCAAAGAGCATTATCTTGAAGTTTTTAAATTCTTCGAAGGCGAGTTGGTTTTTTCACTTAATGCTGATCGACTCATTTCAAAATGCTGTAGGACGTTCAGCAATATCTTTTGCATTAAAAACAAGAACTTCGAATTAATCATTTAATTCAATTCGTGCCTAATTCTATTGTACTTAATAACTTCTTCTTATCAAATGTTCACAATAAAAATCCTCAAAAAGCCAACCGTCAATTTGTGAAAATGTTTGGGTACACAATCACAAGCATTCCAAACAATAGCAATAGATAATTGAGTGGAACTTGGATTCCCTAGAACAGCCGTGCAAAGCCGGGTACAGCAGTACTTTATGACAGTATAAATGCAATATATTAATAAAGAGGAGGTTCAAAAATTCAACAGAATATGATTTGGATAAAATACATGAGATGGGATCGTCAATCAACTTCTTCTATAGTTTTCTCCCTATGCCATATATCAGGAAACACCAAAACGGCGACAGTGAGTGCGTACAGAGTACAAAAAATTACAATGAAGTTGAAAACGAAGTTGTAATCACCACACACCAAAGGTGCATCGCGGCTGTAAATATAAAGGTTTAAAGAGTCAAAGCAAAAGTTCTTGCTAAAAATCATGAAACTAAATGGAGTATTAAATGAGAAATGGATCAAGAGTAGCCTTCTTGTTCAAGTACGTATAAGTAAATATGAAATTTGGCATAGCGTTATAGATTAAGGCCCGTAAGAAAGCGATTCATCTGTTAATGAGGAAAATGAGGAAAACCTCATATGGAGGCGAGACATGCGTTCTCTAACATCTGACTGACAAGCGAACGATCCCAAATTAAGGGGGCAAATCGGAATGAACCGCATATTGTTAGATGCGTCTTGATGAGCTGATTCCAAATCTACCTTTCGTATCTGCGGAGCCGTTCTCTGCAAAAAGTTATAAGCGTTTGAAAATGTGAAGTCACTGGGGTTTCAGTGCATAATGTGCTTCAAAATCCAACTTGGCAGTGTATGACTAGCATGATAAGGAATGTACTGATTTCAAGAGATGCTCACATTTAAAGAAACAAAAATAAGTGTTTTTAAACAACTAATTCTCGAGGTATGGCGTGTATTATTACCAAACTTGTACTTTTCATTGCTC